TATTTTTGCTTACAATTTTTCCAATTTCTATTTCATTCAGATAAATGGAAAGTTTTCACAGAAATTTTACAAGGCAAACTGTATGACTGTCAAAATAAACAATGGACTTTCTAGTTAGAATGGGTGAATGACTGCAATTAAACCTGTGAAAGGCAGAACCCATTTAAGTCGGAAACTTGTGAGAGAAGGAAAAACACTGATAGTGACAGGAAAGTGGTTAAGACTGCGCTGCATTCTGTTAAAGGTGGAAAATCTGCAAGATCCTGAGAAATAAGGTAGACATCACTTAGTCCCATCTCCCACAGGCTTCCCTGTGGAAACAAGTTCTTATCGCACATGATACATCAAACCAGCCAGAACACAATAAACAGAAGGACTTTACATGTAAAAGAGCAGTTCAAATTATCTTTCCTAAAGATATTCAGAATAGTATCTCAAAATACCTTTCCTAAATATCTATCTGATTCTAATATAAATATGGGGAATACTACTATCATTTGAACATTAATGATTGATTTTTAAAGGAAAAAAATATAGCAATACCCAGAAAGAACTGCAGTAAGTGGGATTTTAGACCTCTTACATTAAAAACTGTATTATAATAGGAACTTGAAATGTACCTTTGATTTATTTTTTAGTTTATATTAAAAGATGTAGCACAAGATTATCTCCTATCTTAACATCCAATGTATTAAACAGTTCTAAAACACAAAAGCCTGCCAACTAAACAGATAAAATATCAGTGAAACAAACAAACAAAAAATTTAAAATATGTAATCAAACTTCAAAATTTAGTATCTGATCAATGAATGACTCAGTGATAACTTAATCCTTTTCTCTTACAAATAAGGAAGTTTAGTAACTTGCTCTTCTGGTTAATCAACACTTTGCTTTTTCACAAGATCTTCATGCCCACAGGATACATTCATGCTATGGGGATGTGGCCTTAGGCCAGGCAATTGTTTTCCTTGCCTTAAAAACTCTTTTTGCTTAGTCATTTTAAACCCACCAGGTCTGTCTCACTGGCCCCTTCCTGATGATAATTGCTACAAAGAACTAACAAGGAATGTAGGCACCATGGACATCGAGTATTAGCTTGGTCTATTTTCCTGTCTTCTATCAATAATTTTTTTGAAAAATCTACTTCCTGTTCTTGAAAAGGAGAAGGAGGCTGATATGACAGAACTATAGAGTAGGAAATGGAGTTGTAAGAAGAAATAAACAATATCCACTCTCTCTCATTGTAGTGCAAGAGATGGAATGTTCAAAATGGCTTTCCGAGCCACTGACTTGGACTTTTGCCACGTGGCTCAGTTGCTGTCGTTGTTGCTAGCTGCCATAGAGCTTAAGCCTTGTCCTATCCTGTGCCATCCTTACTAGCTCTGATATGCTTCAGACCACTGTTACAATAACTGTGTAACTATCTTCTAATGTAAATGATATAAACAGAATCTTTCTAGAGGTAATACGTAAACAGAGTACTATGAATGGATTGGTTACTGTTGCCCTATTTCCAGGCGCAAATTGAATAGGTCTGGAGACAGAAGTTGATCTTAAATTATACAGTCCAAGATTATAATGTCTTTCTTTTTTCAGATGGTACCATACTGGACAAAGTTCTGCTCTGCTGTTCACTGGGTTACTATAAGTGGCAGTCAACCAGATAGTGCCTAATACAAAAATAACAGAGACAGAAAAAAGGAATCATCCTATCAGCAAGAGAGAAGTGGAGTGTTAATTCTCTCTCTTACAGGCTACAGAGTCCTGTGAGAGACAGAAAAGAACTGAGATTCAAACAGCAATTGTAGCAGCAGAAGTGGCAGAACCAGAGACTGACATGAGACAGAGCTGTACAGGAACTGCTACCCACAGCTGAAGGTCTTGCGCTTAATGCCGTAACTGGCAGGACTAAGAAAGTGTGTAACATTAGCTCAAAGCCTTGGGGACAAATATCAGCGATACTTGGAGCACACCTGTGAAGCTGTCCTGAATGTATGTATCCCCATAATTATAAGTATGATCTGTTAGGCTGGTGTGGCCACTGCAACAAATTAGCAGACCCAACAGTGAGAGCTCTGGGAAGAACAGTTGTTGCTAGAATTGGTAATAGAAGATGCAGGAGAACGGAGGCACGTCTGATTTAAGAGGAATTGGTTACGTTGAGGATGTTGTGGATGGAGATTCTTCACCCTTATGGAAATAATAGCAGTCAGATGTGGTAATCCTCATGCTTGACACACTGCTTTTATACTCATACTATAGCTGAGGGTAAGTCCCTTTGTTTTTGAACCTAGATGACTAAATTAAAGTGAAACCACAAAGCAGGACATAAGTAGTGAAAGAACAAACAAATGGAAATATATATTTATTTCTACATCTAACTATTCTGTCAGTAACACTAAACTTCCATGAGTCATTCCTACTAAATAGCTGCACAAAATTAAGCATATAACTTGCTAGGTGTGCCTATTTTCTCAACAATAAAATAAAAAGAGTGAACACATTGATCTCTAAGGCCCTTTTTAATTGAAAATATTATCTTCTTTATATTCTGGATTCAGTTATCAGACGGAGAGCAGAGACTCATTTGTTTGCTCTTTAAGGAAGTGTCTCTAAAATGGAGAGTATAAAACAATCAGAGAACATAAGGAAAAAGATTAGTATTTTTAATATGTATGTTTTGATCCAAGTTTCAATCTAGTGTTACCAGTCTACTGTATTCTGACCACCAATGGTGAACTCAATGGGAGAGATAGAGAATGAAGACTATCCAGAGCACAGGGGCTGGCAGAGATTCCCTTGTCATTTTTAGCATTCACCACTTCTCTGGTGCCATTACATAGATTTACAGGTCTTACTGAACACAAATTGAGAGGGGCCCTGGTGTCATCGCACATAAAGCACTAAGGTGTTAACCAAAGGCCCATAGTTAGAACTCACCAGCTACTCCATGGAAGAAGATGGTGTCGTTTGCTTCCATAAAGATTACAGGCTTGGAGATTCTATAGGGCATTTCTACTCTGTCCTAAAGCTTTGCCATGAGTTGAACTAACTAAAGATATAGACTTGGTTTTTGTTTCTTTTCTTTTTTTTAAATTTTTATTGTATTATTTTTACGTGTACCATCAAATCAGATCTGACTGGTAAAGGAGGAGATTTCCCCCTCCTTCTCCAGCAGAGCATCTGGTGGATTTGAACCGCGTACCTCTGGGATTGTAGTGCAGTGTCTTGCCACTAGGCCACCAGAGCTCCCTGGTTTTTGTTTCTTTAATATCAAATAGTTCTGGAAACTCTATGAAGTTGGAAAAACGATGATAGTTACAGTAAGGCTTCAGGCCTTTTACTCATATATATATGAAGGGCTCTTGTATTTAAAAGTCACTTGGGCCTAAAGGTCTAGTGTTAGTTTTGAAGGAACATTCTTCTTAATTGTGCAGCACTCCTCTGTCAATTTGCTACACTGAAGTGATCTAGGTTTGCTGTGATGCTGAACCTTGTCCTACCGGGTGCTTAAAATGCCATAATAGCTGTCCATGGTGGACACTTTAGTGGAGCTCCCAGCTAAAACAGGTTTGGAAGCAGGAGTGGCATCTACTTCCTAAACCACATGCCTCTGGAAACTCTATAAACTTGGAGAAATGACGATATTTGTAGAAAGGCTTCAGGACTTTTGTTCATAGGGTTGCTATGAGTCGTGCTCAACCCGATAGCAATCAACAACAGCAACAACTATCAAATAGACCAGAAACTTATAGGGATTTTTGTGATTAAAAATAATGTCAATAATGCCAATAAAATCAAGAAATGTCCGGGCTGATCTGTTTCCTTTATAGAGGAAGTCCTATGTCAATCTTATTATGAAGCAAATAAATGGCTATCTGATTAGAACTTACGAGAAGTTGTTGCTGTTGTTACTGGGTGCCAACCAGTCAAGTGCAAATGATAGGGACCCAAAGAAAAAGAGATAGAACTCTGCCATATTCTGTACTGCCCTCATCATCTCTGATATACCTGAGCCCATTATTATAGTTACTGTGGAAATCTATCTTGTTAAAGGTCTCCCTGTTTTTCTCTTCCACCTTTAAGGATAAGATAGTGTCCTTTTGCAAGTTCTGGGCCCTCCTTACAACTTGCCTTAACTATATGAGATGAAATTTCATCATCCTTGCCTCAAAGAAGTACCTTGGTTGCACTTGCTGCAAGACAAATTTGTTCTATTGGAAGTCCACAGGATATTCAATACTCTCTTCACCACAACTCAAAAGAAATTTTTATTCTTCTTCTGTAATCCTTATTCATGGCCCAACTTTCAAATGCAAAGGAAGCAAAAGAAAAGATCAAAGGTTGGATCAGGTGTACCTTAGTATTTAAACTGATATTCTTGCTCTTTAGAATTCTGGTGAGTTCCCTGACAGCAGATTTTCCCAATGTAAGGTATCTTCTGATTGCTTGACTACTGGAAACATGGGTGTTGATTGTGAATCAAAGTAAAAGAAAATCATTACCAACTTCAATATTTTCTCTATCTTCATGATGTTGCCTATTGATCCAGTGGCAAGAACTTTTGTTTTCTTGATGTATACTGAGATATAATCTGAATCAAAAGCTATGGTCTTTGATCAAGCAACACTGTGTTATCCGAACAACACAGGTTGTTGATGAGTCTTCCTCCGATGCTTCCTGATGCTACGTTGTTCTTCATGTAGTTCAGTTTCTCAAATTATCTGCTCAGCATACAGATTGAATACATATGGAGAAATGATACAACTCTGATCCACAAATTCCCAGATTTTAAGCCATGCCAGTTTCCTTTGTTCTATTCAGACAATGATTTCTTGGTCTACACAGACATATTCTTTGGTCTTCTTTGTTCATTGTCCCACTTTGATGAATATGAAGTATATGAAAATATTTATTGAGGGGGTACCTTACCCTTTAAACTGACATCCTTGACAGCAAATTTGCTGCAAGGATTCCTTTTAAGAACTGAGTTAACTTACCACATTAAAATCTAAATTTTTTTCAATCCATGATTTTGCTTCTTGAAATTCATCTTTCATTCCCATAATAAAAAGTGTATCCAGGGCATCTACTATAGTTGCTCCTTTGATGTTACCTGAAAGTATCAGAAAAATATTTATTCAATAAAAGTAATTTTAAGAGATACATACATGCAAAGCGACCATATCTTGGGCAAGGGGAGGTGTATGAAATGGGATTTATTAATAAACAATTATACTGAACATAGTCTAAAATGTTAAAGAAAATAAGAAACCAAAATTAAAATTATCATAGGATATAAATAGATTAATCTTCAAAGTGCCTCTTCAGTTACAGAAATAAATCTCTTAGAAATTTTATTTGTGATTGCATTCTCTAGCAAGAAAATAATAGATCTAAAACAAAGGAACAATACTCATATTAATTTTAATGTAATTACACCAAGTGCATTGCACCTGTGCAAAAAAACTCTCTAAACATAATTAGATCTAAAATTGCTTAGTGATTGCTCTAAGAAACTGTTCCTCTAAAAAGGAAATGCCACCTTCTCTTTGAAGTTCTAGTTGATTGTGAACACTCTACCCAGCTTCCCAGCCCCAGACTCTGTTTTGTTTTGTGGGGTTTTTTGGTAGGTTTTTTTTCCCGAGTCCTCAGGACATGAAGATTTTACATTGTCTTGACTTCTCCTGAAATTACAAGTGTGCATGTTTTATCATCTGAAAACACCTTTAGAACAAATAAACTATGTCTTGTTCATCTCTTCATCCCTCATGGTGTTCTTAAAATCATGCTGGTACTTCCCTACTGACTGGCTACTGAAAACTAAATGT